CCCCCCAGCCCCCCCCCACTGACCCCCGAGGGCCACCCTGGGCGGCAGTGGAGGGTGAGGCAGAGAATTCACACAGGGCTCCAGAGCCTCCCCGACCAACTCCAACGATGTGGCAAAGAGCTTTGCAGAGCGGAGGGGCCTGTACGGAGCCGGGCAAGGCCAAGGTCGCCCCTGGGCAGGAGCACGGAGCTGGCCCAGCCACCGCCGCTTGGGGACACGCGTGCCCCCCGGCTCGAGAGACCTGCAGACGCACTGTGGCTCAGGGCAGTGTATTTTAAACCGTGCTCTTTTTTTTTTAAAAAAAAAAAAAAACAAACCACCAAACCAAAACCAACCAACCATCGAGAGTTAATTTAAGTTCCTCCGAAGAACCTGTTCACATCAGCAAAGCGAGAAGCACAACCTGCTGAGAAGAACAACGAGACCACTGGAAAGGTTCAGCCTACAGCCCCAGGTGCGTCGGATTTGCCAAAAACAAAAAAGGGTGTGATGTCAACACAATGTATATAGTGTATAGTAGGGGAGAGAATAAATGTATCTTAATTTGTCATGATTTTGCTAACCAAAGCTGTACATTTTTCCTATTGCTCTCTGTCCCCGTTTGGGTTTTGAATGGGCTACGATATACTACGCGTCCGGTCCGCATCAGCAGTTCTGACAATGCACTGTTTCTACTGATACTCATGCTTTTTCCATTTTATTGCCAAGATTACATGAATTGTTGACTTTATTTTTACACAATAAAGAGTGAAGAAAGACACTGGAGTCTCTTAAATTGTGTGAGCTCCCGGGGCAGGCCCTGCTCGGGAGCCGATCTTCCTGCACAGGGAGGTTTTGCTGCACAAAGTGGGAATTCCTGCCCACTTCCCCTCGGAGCGGCCCGGGCACCCCCGGAGCCTCGGCTGTACCGCCAGGCTCTCTCCTTTTTCTGCATTCGGCCACATCTTTCCCTTGTTTATGTAACACCATCACACAAATTGATTTATGTTTTTTTCTCCCCCCAAGACACAGGCTGGAAGCTCAGCTCCTGCTGGGCTGGTGGGACCGTGACACCCTGAACCCCATCTGCTGCCCCCAACCAACGTCCTGGGGGGGCAGGACCAAGCGGCTCCTGCTCCCTCCCGGGGCAGATCTGGGCACAGGGGTGACCCGGGGGCACCTGGCTGGGGGGGTGGTGAGGCTGGAGCCCCCCCCGGTGTCCAGGCGGGGGGACTCAGTGATGTGCTGTCATTGCCGCTGAACCCGGTAACGGCTCCCAGTTCCCACTTGTTACACGCCTGCTGCAGAACAGACTCGCCAGATAAATTCCTTGTCATATCAAAGATGGAAATAGGGAAACTATTCCTTACTCCTTGGGACCAGCCAGAAACAACTTCCCCTGATACCCCCCTGCCCCGTAACTGCCCCCATCCTGTTGCAGCCGGGAGCAGGAGCTGTAGGGGGACAGTTCAGCCCCGCTGCCCCGGGCACCTCACAGCCCTCGGTGACACTGTCACTGTCACACCCCTTCCCTCTCCGTAGGAGCAAGGACACGGTGACCCAGCCCAGAGACACGCAGCTGGCAGAGCCCTCGCTGCTGCTGGGCCAGTGGCCAGCGAGTCTCGGGCCCCGGGGGCTGGCGAGGGCCGTGGCCAGGGTCCTGCAACTGCCTGTGCTGCATCTTCCCAAGCAACAGCCACAGCTCGAACAACAACAACAACCGCTCAGCAACATCTGCAGCCTGTGACAGCATCCCTGAGCGGTCACCGGCCACCTCCCGCATCTCCGGCTGCCAGAGAGCCACCCCGGGGTCGCCTCCTTCACCCAGCGCCTGCCGCCCTGACAACCCCTCCTCCTTGGGGGGTTTGCTCCCGGGACTGCGCCAGGCCCTTTTCAGGACGTCCCAAGCCCCATGGTGATGCGGTGCCCAGGGCAGGAGGGAGGATGCCTCCGGCCACGCCGCAGCTCTGGGGACCCGGCGGGTTTTCCTGGGCCACCAGCCAGGAGCAGAATTCCAGGTTCTGGGCACCCGTGGCTGGGGGTGGTCAGCATCAGGAATCCTCCGGGGGCAAGAGGTAAAGTGATACAGCAAAAATATTTCAGGGCAGTTTTCTGAGCCCCACGGGGGACAGGCTGAGTGTAACGTGCCACTCATCAGTCACTCCGGCAGGTGATTAGCGAGGAGGCACAGATGGGCTGCCGAGGGAGCCGCCGCCAAGCTCGTAGGAGGGCAGGATGGGGAGCAGCACAGGCACCGGAATGAAAGCAGGGGCGGGATGCCAGAGGACACAGAAGGGGTGTCGAAGAGAACGGTGCAAGAGTTCCCCCTCCCCGACTCCCCAGATCCCCCCCCAGGTGTAGAAGTGACTTAGCTCAGCATCTTGACAGCCTTACAAAGGCATCAATACTGCAGAGCCCAGCCAGAA